GCATTATTAAAAATATGTGGACAGCTTTGTCGCCACTTGTAGTGATGAAGGGCTGCCTCCTGCACATGGGATAGAGCCCACAACCCAGGCAACATGAACAGTATAAATACAAACTTAATTCAATTTTGTTTTAATAGTAATAAGGTTAAGCTTTCTGTAGGGAAAGTAATAGCATCCTAAACCCATAGTACTGAGAAGTAAGCTGTGCAGTCTGAACCAATTTTTTTTTTCTTTTTTTTTTCTGCCTGGCCATCTGGGCCACCTTTATCAGGGAGCCTGGGTGGTGGGTGGTTATCACCCCCTGCAATGTTGGGGGGCCCTCCCCCACCCCCCAGCTGGGGCACAGGCACCTGAAGCCAGTTCTAGCTGCTCTCTGCACCCCTGCCTATTGGAGAAGGAGGCTAGGCGGGGAGGGCAGTTCCTGGGCAACCATGCCCTGCTCAGGCCTAGCAATGTCCCCCTGCCTAACCCCAGATAAGCCACCAGCCTCCTGAGCCCCACCTGACCTTAAGAGAGCTCCAGCTCTGCCTGGGGGGCATGGCTACTACCCCCTCCAGGCCTCAGTTTCCCCATCTGCCTCTCCTCCTGGGGGCCTCTTCGGTAAACTATAATTATCACCACCACCCCGCCGCCTTGGGCTGTTGGATCGGAAAAATGGGGGTCACCCTAGCCCCTGTCCCCCACATCCTGAGGCTTCCCCCTCCTACCCAATTCATAAATCAGCCCCCCACCCCACCCCCATATAGTGGCCCGGCTCCTCAACCTCTAATCCCTTCTCCATAAACGGATTTTCCTCTGCAAAGCCCAGCTCCCCCAGCCTGTCCCGCACCCTGCCCTTCGGATTAAATGAAGCCCTTAGGCTGCTGTTCCCCCTCCATACCTCACACCACCACCTCCTCAAAATCCACACCCTCGGGCCCCTTCCCCCACTCCTGCAATCAGGGTGCTGTCCCCTCTCCTGGGACACACCCCTCCCTGCCCCACCTGATCCCAGGGCTTCAGGTTCCTACTGAGAAGCCTCTTCTTCCAAGGAAGCCTTTTCCTCCATCAACCCCCACGGTTCCAGGTCCCAGGGGGCAGGACTGCGCTCCCCAGAACCTTGCTCAGAGTAGGTGCTCAGCTGCCATTCCTCAGACTAAGGTAGACAGGGTTTTAGAGTCAAGCAGGGGGGTCTGAACCTCGCCCCCGCCCCCCCATGGGACACGGGGCAATGTCTGGGAACATCTACGACTGTCATAACTGGGGAGAGCTCCTGGCACTGGTGGGTGGAGGCTCAGGTGAACTAAGCCCCCTCGAGGCACACATGGCTGCCTGCCTGCTGGGCACTGGGGGCGCAGGCAGGGGAGCCCTCGGAGATGAGGGAGGCTGGGAGAGCATAGACAGCCAGCCTCTCCTCCCGCCCCCGCCCCATCTCCCTGCTCTCACTCTTGTATCCACAGCAACCGCAGTCAACATTTCCCGCAGCTTCCAAAGTCCTTGCCCGCCCCACGCAGAAGAGCTCTGTGCTGGGCCAGGGGCTGCAGGCAGGGCACAGGAGACCGCAGGACAGCCCTCTCGGCTCCCTGTGCAGTTGGGTAGCCCTGTGAAAAGATCCCAGCGCCCCTCCTGGCCTCTTCACCGCCCCCATGCACCAAATGAAACAGGGATGATGGGGGCACCACACTCACCCCAGTGCCCGTCTGCTCATCTGTACAGTAAGGCTAGATCAGGATTGGCATTGCCTTCACAGAGAGAACAGACCTCAGTCTAGCTGGGTAGGGGCAGGACTCTCTCCCCAGGGCCCTTGGGAGGACGGCCCAGCAGACAGCTAGCTCTAATTATTCCCTGTTCCTAGCCTCGGGACACCCAGGATGAGCATGGATTCCCCACCCCCCAAGCAAGCTTAACAGCAGCTGCCCCGTCCACTGGGGGCCAGAAAAACCAAAAGGCCTTCACACAGGCTCCAGCAGGGCTTGGTGATCCTGGGAGTCAAGGAGACACTGAACGTGCAATCATTAAGCACACGAGTGCCCAAAATCCTTGAGAAACGGAACCAAGGGGTACCAGCCAAATGGGTCCAGGAGCTGCGCCCCACTAGGTCCTTGCACTGCTGTTATAAATACAGCTCCAAGACAGGGCATCCAGAGCCACAGCTCCCACAGGGCGCAGGACCCAGCACGGAGGGCACTCTGTCCTCCCCACCATCTGCACTCACCCTTGCCACACCCCAACTCAGCCTCTTTGGCCTCAGTTTCTCATTAAAAACAGGGATAGCAATACTGAAGTACTGGCCCCAGCAAGGAGTCCCTCCCCCCACCTCGACTCAGGCAGATGGTCACCATTGCCTGGGGACCTACAGAGGTTCTAAAGGGTCCAGAGACACCCTGGAGAAGTGTCCCTTGGGAGCCCGGCCACCCCCTTCACTCCATCCAGAAAGTCTGACAGAATCCAGGGGGCAAAATCAAACCAAGTCAGGGCACTGGGGGTCCCCAAAAGGTTCTCAGAGAACAAATGCCTCAGGCCAGAGGTGGGACAGGTGGAAGGGCACAGTGATAAGTGAGAGATGGGATCCCTCTGTCCCTTCTGTCCTATCTCCCACGTCAGCCGCCCCCACCCCACGCTGTTGAGCCACTGAACTCTTAGGTACCGACCCACTGCCCAGAGAGGCACGTCCCCATCTTCACGGACGCCCTAAATGTCCCTCCCACAAACATGAGGATCTTTAAATCTTTAAAAGCAAATAACATGCAGCGACTACACAGAGAAAGATGGTCGCTCCTTTTAAGAGAATTTAGACAGTCCTGTCCTCCTGTCCTGGCTGTGCTCACAGGTGGGCAGAGCCTCCATCCCCTGAGAACAAGGGACAGGACCTGAAGGAGCGGTGGGAAGAGTGCGGAATGGGGAGGGGGGCTGCCAGCACGCATGTGGCATTTGAGATCTGGCCACTGGCCTGGGGCAGCCTGCTGTGCGTGTCTGCCACACGACTGGGAACCTGCTTTCCTGCACCCTGTCCACGTGTTGCAACAATGGGAACCTGTCCACTGAGCCGAGGCCCACCATCCCTGCCCAGCCCAAACTCACAGCTTGGTGGGCATTCTCATGGTGGAGGGTGGGAATCTATGGGGAGGAGAGGGGGCCACAGCAGGATAAGGGGAGAGGGTGACAAAATAAAAGGGTGGCCAGCGCCCCTTGACTCCAGGCTCCCCTAGTTGCCCCACCACCCACTGGGCTGAGAGAGGTGACAGTGTCCCAGGAAACTACTGCACAACCCTGTGCACCTTCCGGGTTCTCTGAACCAATTTAATATAGTAAAGTCACATTTCCTAATTCAGAATGTGGTAAAGCATTTTATAAAGGCCTACTTACTTAATTTTAACAGAGTAATAAAAGTAACACAATTTATATTTTGGTTGCTCCCAAAGTGAGTCTCGAGCTTTGTGAAAATGTATTATATAATCAAGGGCTGCACATAGTCTGGCCTATGTGTACTTGTACAAGCATATCTTGATGTGTGCCGCAGTCCAGAATGGTAAAAATCACATTTTTTTCCACTGGGGAATATAAGATAATTTATCAAAATTCCATTACTATCTGTGGTCTTATTAAATTGTTGAAATCGTTTTACTTTTTGAAATATTTTTTAAGTTTTTTAAAAAAAGATATGTATTTATTGATTTCAGAGAGGAAGGAAGAGGGAGAGAGAGATAGAAACATCAATGATGAGAGAGAATCATTGACTGGCTTCCTCCTGCATGCCCCCTACTGGGGATCGAGCCCACAACCTGAGCATGTGCCCTTGACCGGAATCGAACCTATGGCCATTCTGTCTGCAGGCCGACGCTCTATCCACTGAGCCAAACCGGCTAGGGCATTTTTTAAGTTATTAATAAATCATAGGTATTTATAATATCACCTTTTAGTATTTTCTTAATAGACTACTGAGTTTTTACCCTTCTACTCTAGTAGACAACTCCATCTTAAATTGTTTAGATAATATAAACCCATTCCTATATAAATATTTAATAATATTATCAAAGAAACTCTTAATTATAGCTGATGTACATTAATTTTTAAGGTATAGGAAATATATTTACATCAAAATAAAGTTGACTTAGAATCAGAGTGATTAAAGGAAAATTTTTCTTATTCTATAAAGAATGCCTGCAATTCCATTTGAAAAAGACAAGCAACCTAATAAAAAAGCTAAGCAAAAGGCATGAATAGTTTTTTAAAAAGCAATTTGAATAGCTCTTAAAAATATGAAAATATGCTCAATCTAACTCATAAAAGGAAATATAAAATTAAAACTGTTGTGGCATACTATGCTGTTAAGAATGAGGCAGCTTTGAAATAGTAATATGAACTAATCTAAAGTATATAATTAAGAAAAATAAAATTCAATCTGCATATGAATTAATTAGATATATTTTATATTAAAAAGATACATACGTATGTATATGCATTGGTTATCTCCAAAAGGATATGTAGGAAACTACTTCTGGAGAGAGCATCTAGGTGGCTGCTCGGAGTAGAGGAATCCTTCATTTTCTTCATATTTTTAAAAAGTTTTTATTGCTGGCTTAACTACCTATTCAGAATAATTCATTTTTAGAGACAATATTGTCATAGAATACTAAAATCTGTAAGGGACCTGTATCTGCCATTCCTTTTACAGCTGATTTCGAGTTGCCCAAGAACTTTCGATCATAGAGCTGTTGATTTCAGCCCAGTAGTTATCAACTGGACAAGCAGGTCTTCCTAGGTATACAGAGATCTTATTTCTCTTCATCATTGTATTCCACTTACCTAGCATACAGTAGATGCTCAATAAGTATTTGAATGAATTCAACAAATTTAAGGTATTTATTACTCTGTGGCATGGTACTGGCAGAAAGTATTTCATCTTCACCTTTGAAAGAAGAAAAAAAAATTTGTGTTTCCTGTTCAAATGTGTTTGTTATATATTAATTTTTATTCTAAAGAAACATTTCTGAAGTTATAAATTGTTAATCATTTTTCAGACACAGGCTTCATGTCCTATTGACAGAAAACCTTTTCAAGCAGTCTTTAAAATCAGTTCATTGGAAGGTTGTGTTAAGGTAAGGCTTAGATTTTATTTTGCAACATGAACAGTATAAATACAAACTTAATTCAATTTTGTTTTAAAAGAGTTCGTTTGAATGAATTTGTGACTTGTTGAACTTTAGCTTTAATATGTGATTAACATTCCCCCTTAGCATAACAAACCCAGACTTTTCTACAAGAATTCAGAAATTCTCTTTTTTTTCCTTTGCCCGCTAAAGAGGATATATTTTTAGTGTGAGGACCTTTATTTAAAAAACATTTATTGATTAATTATATAGTGCTTTAAATACATTTTTATTTTATTTTTTTTATTTCAGAGAGGAAGGGAGAGGGAGAGAGAGATAGAAACATCAATGAGAAAGAACCATCAATGGGCTGCCTCCTGCACATGGGATAGAGCCCACAACCCAGGCATATGCCCCGACTGGGAATTGAACCGTGACCTTCTGGTTCATAGGTCGCTACTCAACCACTGAGCCACACCAGCTGGGCTGAATACATTTTTAATTGAAAAATATTTGAAATGGACTATTAGATTCAAAGGCCAACCCTCACAAAGACTTAAGTCCAAAATACCTGAAAAGTATGTTTTCATAAAAAAAGCAATGTTGAGAAGAGTAAGCCAGTAAAAGTAAATATAAAATGATGTCTTTGTTCTTAAATTCTGGTGTTTGAAGAAAAATGAGTAATTGGAGAAAGGGGCGTTTGTGGAGATTGAGAGGGACTTTTCAGTTTCAAGATTGCCATAGGCCAATTAGTTCATTCTTTTATTAAGTATAGTTTATTGTAATGCTTAATCCTAATCACATCTCTGAGATGCACATACCATACATACCTCATTGATGTTAATTATTATAAACCATGATTATGATTTGTGTTCACATTTTTGGCTTACAAATAAAAGAAATAGGAACATATTCCTGAGTTAATGAGTAAAAGGTGAAAAGAGAAACGGGCAGTAAGTAGTTAAATAAAATGTATAAGAAGGAGATTTTAAAAATAATTTATATATATATATAATTATAATCAGATGTTACCATTTGTTCCAAGAATGTTCCTTATAGCAAAAGAAAATCTGTAATCATGTGTTACGTTATGTCTCATATCTTTTAATCTGGAACATTTTCTCAGCCTTTTTTTTCATGACTGTTTTTAAGAGAAAATTATTTATTTAATTTTATTGACTTTATTGGGATGACATTGGTTAATAAGTTTTATAGGTTTCAAGTGTGAAGTTCTATAATACATCATCTGTATATTGTATTGTGTGTTCACCACCCAAAATGAAGTCTCCTTTTGTCATCATTTACACTCCCTTTACTCTCTTCTACCTGCCTCACCACCCATTCCCTCTGGTAATCACCATATTGTTGTCTATGTCTGTGATTTTTTATTTTCTCAATCCTTTCACCTATTTTACCCAATCCTTTTTTAAAAGTTTGTTCTCTATGAGTCTGTTTCTATTTTGTTTATTTGTTTTGAAAATTTGATTCCACATATAAGTGAAATCATATGGTATTTGACTTTAAGAAAGAGATTACTTGTAGTATCTCTAAGAAGTCACAAAGGATATACAACTAAAAATGGGAATACTCAATATATACATATATGATGTCATTGATGTGAAAAAAACTGTTCCCAGGTAGCATTATAAGTCTATGATAGCTTTGTTGCTCTCCGTGTGAGTAGGAAGGGAATGGAAGCAACGTACAACTATTTAAGCATTAGATGTTCTCATTGTAGGTATTTATAATTTGTTTTGATATATATATATATGTATATATATTTAAATATCTTTATTGATTTTAGAGAGAGAGGAAGGGGGAGAGAGAGAGAAACATCGATGTGAGAGCGAGACATCTATTGGCTGCCTCCTTTGTGCCCCTATTGGGGATCAAGTTGTGTGTCCCTGATCAGGAATCTAACCCACGACCCTTTGGTGCATGGGTCAACACTCAACCACTGAGCCACACCGGCCAGGCTGTTACATTTTTAACAGATGAGTCTCAATATACAAATAAGACTGCAATTCAAATAAAAAGATACATGAAAAATTAATTTGCTTCTTGTAATTATGTAAGTCTGCACGTCTATACAAATTAGTATATATTTTGGAGAAAAGATATAATTGTGTAATATTATAATCAAAATTAAAGCATGACTTCTCTGAAAGACGTTCTCCATTTTTCTAGAGTATATGTTATGTTGCTGATGATTCATTAGCATGAGCTAGTTTCCAAATATATTTTCTTGTAAAATTTTGTTCTTTTGCTTCATGTGAAATTTTGTTCTTGGAATAAGAATTTGTTTTATTTAATGAGGCTTAAAAGTTTGATGCACTATTCATCTAATTTTGTCAAACTTAAAAAGGTATTTCTTATATGTGATATTATCCTTGTACTCTCAATATTTTCCTTTGCTTCTTTTGAATCTTCAATTATTATCCTTTTCCCTTTATAGCTGAACTTGAATGAGACATCTACATTTACTTCATTTTTTCAATTCCCCAGTTCCATTGACAGTTCACCTCTGTCATTTTGTTTTACTAAAACTGTCCTCACTAAGGGCCAGAGTAATCTCTGACTGGCCAATCCCATCCTTTCTGCATGTAATGCTGTTGAGTACTTTTATTTCCTTTGGCTTCTAGGTTTACTTCTCTTATGGGTATATATGTAAGAATGTGTATATGTATGTATGTTTGTTTCTTTTACCGACCTTTTACAATCTTCTTTGCCATCTCCCTGCTCTTCTTACCTTTTCTTAAATCATTGGGACTCCTCATAGGATCTTCCTTTCAATTCTCTAGGTATACCTTCCCCTTAAGTCTTCTCAATACTTCAGTAGCTGTTAGTACTATCTATATTTATATAACTCCTAAAATTCTGTCACTAGCCTAGATATTTTTCCTTAGAACCAGACTTGTATTTTCAACCACTTGTTGGATATCTCCATCTATAATACAAAGGAATCAACATTAACAAATCCAAAAAGTATCAGGGAATTTTCCATTTTTTTTCTCTCTGCCCATCCATCTTTTCCTATTCCTTTTGCTCAATTTCTTCTTAAATTTGTTCCTTCATGTCTCTGCTATTAACTCTTAGTAGGCTCTCATGCTGCCATCTAGACTGGTTCTGCCAATGGAAATATACAAGCCAATCTGTAATTTAAAAGTTTTTTTTTTAAATATATTTTTATTGATTTTTTACAGAGAGGAAGGGAGAGGGATAGAGTTAGAAACATCGATGAGAGAGAAACATTGATCAGCTGCCTCCTGCGCACCCCCTACTGGGGATGTGCCTGCAACCAAGGTACATGCCCTTGACCAGAATTGAACCTGGGACCCTTCAGTCCACAGGCCGACGCTCTATCCACTGAGCCAAACCAGTTAGGGCTGTAATTTAGAAGTTTTAATTAGTGATGTGAAAAGAGTAGGAAAAACCAAATTTTTATAATATGTATTTAATCCAACATATATATTTCAACATGTAATATTTTTAAAGAATTGTTATTGAGAGATTTTCCCTTTTTGTTGTTGTCCTAAGTCTTTGAACTCCTCTGTATATTTTACACTTAGAGTGCATCTCAATTCAGACCAGCCACATTTCAAGTGCTCAATAGCCTTATGTGGCAAGTGACTATTTTCTCAGCATAAATCTAGACTATGCATTGTAAGAGCTTCTGTTTTTCTGGCTTTTATAGTTTCTCCTTATCTGCTTCATTCTTCACATTAATGCCAAAGTTAATACTAAAAAAAAAATTATTTGATCATCTCATTTACTTGCTTTAAAAACCTCACTTATTCTCTGATTCCTATAGAATTGTTTTATTATTCAAAGCTCTTTATAATCTGGTCCTATACTTTATATCAACTTCCCCATCTGCATTGGCTTCTTTCCTTAATTTTATTCCTTAGACAAATTTTACTCATTCTCTAAGGCCAACTCATAAAGCATCTATTCATTAAAGTCTTTTCTAGAGTTAATTTTCAATCAATGTATCTGCTGATCTGTGTTTTTATCTCTATTATGAGCACTTAATCTGTTTACATGCCTTATTTCCCCCTAATTTGTTTCCCCAGAGCTTAGCATGTATGTTAAGTTTATAATTTAGCATGCTCGAATGAATAAGCATATGTATTTGGGCTAGAGTTTCAGACAATTTTGTTTAATTTTTTTTTTCAAGGGAGAATTGAAAAATAGGTTATTATTTGTGATACTGGATTATCACTCTAAATAGGTGATTTTGCTTTTCTCATAGGTTCAAGTAAAAAGGCAGTTGAGAGAAGCAAAAGACAAGATAAACGAAAGCTCTTTTAAGAAACAGCTCTCCTGTCATGAAAATTCTAAAAGCTGTATGAGGTTAGTAATGAACTTTAGAAGTGGAATCCAATGTGTAGAATCAGAAGGTAGCTAGTAATAAAAATGAATACATTTTTTTAATGTTGTGGGTTTAAATATATTTAATTACTTCTTTTAAAGCATGTACTTGGTAATTTAAGGAATGACCAGCTGAAATTTGAGAATATAATCTGAGCTCTATCTTTTATTAATATGTTTTTTAAAATTGATTTCAGAGAGGAAGAGAGAGAGAAAGAGAAATAGAAACATCAATGATGAGAGAGAATCATCGATCGGCTGCCTCCTGCATGCCCTCTACAAGAAATCAAGCTTGCAACCCGGGCATGTGCCCTGACCAGGAATTGAATTTTGACCTCCTGGTTCATAGGTTGACGCTCAACCACTGAGCCACATCAGCCGGACTCAGCTGTATCTCTGAGGAATTGGTTTTCTTAGTTTTTTTTTCTAATCTGAATTTAGATTGATATTTTTATAAAATAAAAATGTTACAGCAGTGTAAAATTTCTGTAAAATTTTCTGAATGCTTATTCATTTTTGTACATATCACAACCAATAATGGAGAAGTATTGGTGCACAGACCACATTTTGAATAGCACTGCTCTAGTGTTTAGGGACAAAAGGTAGAAAGTTACTAATGGTATAACTCACCATATTTCATGAGACAGTTATAATTCAAACTACTTATTATTTTTCTCATTGTGCTTCTTTGTATTTTTGCTACCTAATGTAACATGTTTATGTTTTTAAAAAAATTTAACGTTTGTATTTGTTTCTTTAATTGCTGTTGGTAAAACATAATTGCCTAGAAATACAGTGCTTAGTATTCCAGTTTAATAGGTATCATATTTTTTTTCAACTAAATTGTGTTAGTAATGTACTGGAAATTAATTTATGCTTAATACTTAAAATAACTTCTTCTGGTACATTTAAAATTTAAGCCCATTTTGATCTGAAATATATTTTGAGCTATCTAAAAGTTATATTCTTAAGTCAATATACTGTCAGATTCATAATTAAATTTATAATTCATTGGCACATTTCATCAGAATGCTAATTTCTTAAGAGAGTACATTTATTTTGTTACCAAAATAATTGATAGTCGTCCCTGAGATGTATTAAATCATGCAACTAATTTATATTATAGCTCTCTAGGTCTTAACTTTTGGGAAGTTACAGACTAATTTGAGAATTTGAAGAAAACTGCAGACATCTTCTAGAAAAACATGTCATAGAACTTACTTACAGACAAAACTTTGTGTATGATTTTAAGGGATTCATGAAACATCCACTGTAAGAACCCACCCATAAACCCACATTAGCTGCATTAGAGTAGATTTTATTTATATTTTCTTTTAACTTTATTAGAGTCAGTTTTGATTTATGTATATATGTTTTCATAGTAGGTAGCAGCACACTTTTCCTAGGAATAATGAAGAAATACCTTTGCTACCTGCATTCTTACTATAGCTGCTATCACTGGCTGTGACAACGTCATGGATATATATTTTTGTGTTTTCTCTGAATTACCCCAGTTCTCTTAGCTATTGCTGAGAATGCAGTGGTCATCACTATATGACCTATAACAAGGTTGAACAATGGGGCTAATTCAGCTGAGGTAGTCCACATGCTTAACTGCTTTTTCTCATGGATATATGGTGGGGGGATGGTGTATGGAAATAATATATAAAATAATAATTTGCTTTTGTCCAACAAGTCAGACCCTTAATGATTTCTCCCAAGGTGGAAAATCTCTCAGCTATTGGATATTTACAGTACATTTTTTAGAGCCTTTTGGAAATTTTTTAGCATTCCTCCCATTCAGTCTGAGGTTTACTACCCATTCCTAGTCTCTTCACCACTTCAACAGTGTCCAGTGTTGTTTCTCCTTTCTAAAGCAGTAAAACCCTGACAGACACCCTTTCTTTCTGATTATTTCTGCCAGTTCTAGAGAAAGAGATTGCAATGATATTTTGTTTCTTGGTAGTAAATCTCCATTGTCAGTCACTGGGATGGGGAGGGGCAACTAGTTATACTTTCTTTGCTAGAATATAAAACTCTGCCTAATAAATTTCATTTTGGTGGGCAGGGAATTGAAAATAAATGAGCAAAATGACAGTTTTGTCTTAATTATTTCACCTTTTTTTGATGTTTACAGAAAGAACATAGGAGAAGATCTATTAAGTGCAAAGCTTTATGACTTGAAGATGCATAGTAAGTGGCTTTTTTCTTTTGTTTTCTACCTTTTTTTGTTTCTTACTTTAGTACTTGTGCCAGAGTTCTTATTAGTAACATTTTGGTTTGGAAAACAGTCATGCACAGAACTCTACTGAGCTCTGTACATTGTTAAATCCTATATAAACTACTTTCATGGAGTTATTTATGCTATTCCCTACCCATTTTGTGTGTTTTTTTATGCTCATCTTGGAGGAAGGGAGCAGGAGAAAGAAAGGGGGAGAGGAAAAGAAGAAGGATATTTTCAATTACTTGGTGGTTAGCAACCTACATTACAGTCTTACTCCACTTATAAAAGCAGAAGAATTTAGGGGAGATGGGATAAAGTACGGTAAGCTGTAGCAAGGGAAGTTTGTGACAGTGAAGTTATTTCACAGTTCCCAGAAGAAGTGGTGGTTTGGTCTCTAGCCACACTTCTAATTTGAAACTTTGGAAATAAAGCACCTCTTACATATTTATCTACATGAGCAGTTAAATATTCCTGTCTTTCGATCTCACCTAGTACATAGTTCTCCAGTACAGGAAAGGTTTGGGGCAGGGTCAGAGAAAAATGATACCATAGTGCCCTGTGATTCCTCCTTGGAGCTCAGGCTGTGTATTCTATTCTAAAGAACAACTTACTATTAACTGTTTGTAAGCGAGGAGGTGAACATTTAATTTCCAGGCTAGGTTACAATGAATTTTTCTTTATAGATATAAAGAATTAATGAATTTATTATTCTTAAAAGTTATCAACTTCATTGTTTTACATTATGAATACCGAGTTTGGTTGTTATTATATTTATGATTTGAATTAACATGATCTCTTATGTCTATAGATCTCATATTTATAGGTTAATAAGTGCTCTTTCTGCCTTTGATTAGTTGCTATTAAAATGAAATTGTATTAAAAGGATTTACTGATTAGATGAGCATTTTTCTTTTGTTAACAAACCTTAGATATCAAACTTGTTTGTTTTTCTATGTCGTTGCTGTAGATGAACATCCTTTTTTAATGGATGGACTTTGCTTGGTAACTCTAGGATCTGATATAAAATTTACTGCTGAGAAAGATTAAATGATGTGATAGATTTCTCTAGATAATTTGGCCTGCTCTCACTATGTTTATCTTAGTTTTAAGTCTACTATAATTTTCTTTAAGTATATATCTCTTGCCTGGACTTATTTTTAGAGAGAGAGACATAGGCAGATCTAACCTCAAGTGCTTCACTGTAGTGAAGACCATTTATAAGACACTATGACTTATATGGATTTGAGAATTTGTTTTACTATTCAGAATATGGAATACTAAACAAGTTTTTAGTGAATATCCTAAGCTAATTTAATACTGAAAAGCAATTTTTAAATTATAGTTCTTAAAAAAAAAGTTTATGCCAGAAAGTTAATATTGTTCAAGGCCTGTAAACTAATGTGTCTGCTTAAGTGAAGATGTCTGAAGTCATTTGTGTGGTTTAGGATAGGCAGAAATACTCATTTTAGTTTTATATGTAAGTGATCAAGGTAATTATGTGGAAATGTTTTAATTGAACGAGTTTGGATTCATTTGTGGGGTACTGGATACTTATTGATTATCCATTTGGTTCATTTTTCTATGATGTCGCTTTTTACTTGGAGAGTTTAATACATCTAACTTGGCCAGTTTTTTCCCCTGCATTGAAATACATTATATACTTAATGAAATAGTTTGTATTTAGGTATTATGTTTAATGGGATTACTCAGATTTAAATAAACATAAAAACTAATGGGTCTGTTTTGGAGGATGCTAAGAATTAACTCATTGTTAAACTGGTACATTTATAAAAGAAAAGATTCAAACATCTATCTTGCCTTTCCTAAGTAAACTACACATCAGAATAATTGAACAGGTAGTAAAAGAAAGTTAAATATTTTTAGAAGTATTTGAGCAAATAATTGAAGATAAAAGTATAGAATTTGAATATTAGCATTTTGTACATTAATGAATTAATGGATCTAGGAAGTGATCAGCAATGGCTGTTAGCATCACAAAAGGTGAGACAACAATACATTAAAAATAATCCTTGCCCTAGCCAGTTTGGCTCAGTGGATAGAGCATCAGCCTGTGGACTGAAGGGTCCCGGGTTCGATTCCGATTAAGGACACGTATCTCGGTTGCAGGCTCGATTCTCAGCCCTGGTCAGGGCGTGTGTGGGAGGCAACCAATTGATGTGTCTCACATAGATTTTTCTCTTTCTTTCTCTCCCCCTCCCTTTCACTCTCTAAAAAAAATTACTGGAAAAATATCCTCGGTGAGGAGTAACAGGGAAATTTTTTTAAAAAAATATTTCTTTATGGAAGTAAATAACAGCAAATATGCAATAGTGTGACCAAGAAAACCTGAAAGCCAAAACAAACAAACCTGCATCTTATTAAGAAATCTAACTACTAATTTACAAGATGTACAGAGTCAGAGATGTATGTTAAGTGACAAGGGGATGCAATCAGCAAAATTTAGATCACAGACAAATGACCTGGTTTCTTTAGTCATAAAATTCCAAGGAGTTTAGTAAAGGATGGAGCAGAACCTGTAGATTAAGAGACAGACATTCAGCCAGTCAGAGTGTATGGATCTTATTTGGATCCATATTCTGACATGTTATAAAAAATAAAACTTTATGGACAATTGGAGAAAATTGAACATTGGGTATTTGATATTAAGGAATTATTAAAGTTAAAATTTTTTTACTTGGAATAATGGTATTAAGGATTTTCTCCCTCAAAGAGCACTTATCTTTTAGACTTATATACTGAAACATTTATAGATTAAGTGATCCGATGTCCAGAATTTGTTTCAAATTATTGCCTTATTCTTATGGCTTTGTTTGGATGCACTTTTGAGTTAAAAAATAATTCTTAATATAAAATTATCACTTTGATAACATAGTGTCTGCTCCCTACTTAATAGACCAACTAACCTTGATTATTTTGGCTTATCTTTCAGAATGTGATCAATATCAGTCTTTTATTTTTTTTTAGGCTAATGTTTATAAAGTTCATAAACCATAGAATTTTAACCTTTAGTTTTCACATTTCTTATGAGATTTCTTACATATTATTAACAAATGACCTTACCAGAAGACTGAGAGAACCTGTAAATGTTATTTATAATGGTCTCAAAGTTTAGGGCAAATGAACTAATAAGCAGAAAAATCATCTTTATTTACTCATGTTACACTGAACAGGAATCATGGTGTATTAAGGATAATTTAAATTTCTTTTTATAAAAGAACATTTTGAAAAAATGATGTCTCTTTATCTAGGATCGCTTGGCTAGAGTTTAGAAGAACTCAGTTTTAGCTTTTTTTAAAAAATATATTTTTATTGATTTCAGAGAGGCAGGGAGAAGGAGAGATAGATAGAAAAATCAATGATTAGAAAGGATCATTGATCAGCTGCTTCCTGCACGCCCCCTATTGGGAATCGAGCCTGCAACCCGGGCATGTGCCCTTGACCAGAATCGAATCCAGGACCCCTTCAGTCCACAGGCCGACACTCTATATCCACTGAGCCAAACCCACTAGACCAATTTTAGCTTTTTTAATTTCTTAAAAGTTTTTTTGAAGCAGAAAGGGGCTGTCTTTGAACATTTATGTGTGACTTCCTTTTCTACCTGAAGTTATTTATATTACACATAAACTAATGAATAGAACATATGACATTGTGAACTTCTTTTATCTGGATTAGAAATTATTAGTAGAACATTAGTTAAAACTTAGCAGGCCTACTAGATAATCTTATTGGAAGTTGGCCCTTTGAGTTTTATACTGGTTTTTCCATTAAATCTATGACTCTAGGAATGCTATATAAATTGTTTAGTTTTTCCATCTAATGAAGATGGTGTTGCCTGCTCTTTTCCCCTTACTAGAAAAGGTTAGCATACCTTTTGGCAAATTTGTTAAGGAAATGTCACTTTCATTCTTCAACTAAATTTTTAACCTCCCTTACTTTTTCCAGAGTTTTGAGGAGAAAGCAATGACAGTACCAGCAATAGTTTATTGCACACAAGTGTATTGATAGGTATAGATGACTAATAATGTAGACTCAATGCTAAAGAAAAACTAAGAGCAGTAATCTATAAAAGTGCTAACAGTTTTTGTAGTTAGCAGAAGCTATCCTTTATTGTGCTTAACCTGGAAGTATCTATAATAATAAAAGCGTAATATGCTAATTAGACCAGACAGCCGAATGACCTTCTGAACGTCATTCTGGACATCCTTGTGGACGAAGCTGTGGCGGCGGGGACCGAGGCAGAGGCGGTTAGGGGCGATCAGGCAGGCAGGTGAGCTGTTAGGGGCGATGAGGCAGGCAGGCAGGTGAGTGGTTAGGAGCCAGCAGTCCTGGGTTGCGAGAGGCATGTCCGACTGCCGGTTTAGGCCTGATCCCACAGGGATCCCTGTGGGATCGGGCCTAAAGCGGCAGTTGGACATCCCCGGAGGGGTCCTGGATTGTGAGAGGGTGCAGGCCGGGCTGAGGGACCACCCCCTGCTCCCGTGCACGAATTTCGTACACCAGACCTCTAGTGTATCCATAGAAATAAATTTCCAGATGGGACAGGTAATGCCAAAAAATAAGTCATAGGCAGTGTAGCCAGAAACATTTCTATAACAGAAAGCTGTCTGACTCAACACTTCTATTTTTCCTAATTCTAATTATAAAGTTTGAGGAGGAAAGAGAATACTTATTTGAAGATGGTGCCAGTGGTTAAATGGTAATTTATGATTGACAAGGGCTGATGGACCTAGTTCCCTCAGTCAGCTCTTACTTGAGGTGAGCTAACAGGACCTGTTTTTTAGGTCATAGCTGAAAAAGGATATATATGAAGAGCATTATTGATATTAACACATTGCGGACAGATAACGAGAATTCACTTCATATTACACAGTGTTTTACAAAGTATACTTTAAAAAGATATTAGCTTGTAAGAACATGTAATAAATAACTTCAAAATGCAATGGGGATTTAATTTTAAAGCGTGACTTTAACATTTATGTAAAAACATTTTTTGTACTCGTTCAATAGAAACTTATCTGGCCACTGGGTAAAGCTAGCAATAAAACTACTGGTCTGCAATGTGTTAAGTAATTCGAAATTATATATATATATATTAGAGGCCTAGTGCACAAATTCATGCACAGGTGGGCTGGCTGGAGAGAGGGGTTGCGGGAGGTTGGCCGGCTGGCCCTGCCCCCGATCGGGCTGGTTAGTCGACCGCAGTGTGCGTCATAGGGACCGGTCATTCTGGTCGTTCCAG